CGATGCCCCACGGGCATGGATTGCAGTCTTTAACCTGAAATAATTACAGTTAGGCAACATCAATGGTAGAGTCGATGTCACTGATTGGTTCATCTAAGAATTCGGCGAAAATGCTGACAGCAGTTGTGAAATCTAACCTGTAGATTGTTGTCTGTGTATGAGCACGTGTAAAGGAATCCTGTATCAATGGAACGACACAACGCAATGTCTGATTGAACCGATGATTGGTTGCATTGTAAATCACAGTTCATGCCCAATGCATCGCCAGCACACTTCACTGAATATGATAACGAGAGTCTGCAAATTACCCAATTTATTAGTGAACTGTATCGAATCGTTTCCACATATCCTGTGCAATATTTGTTCAAAAGAATCGAAAATTCCATTTTTCATTATAAAAGCCTATTACAATGATGTACGAAATTGATTATCGTTGGGTTGCTGTACTTTATGAAATGAGATGAATCCTCCTCAATGCATCGGTGTTTCTGTTTACAAATTCGGTGATAACGGCAACAGAAATCAGTCATACTGCGGAAGTTTCATGTTTCCTGGACTGTTTAATTTTTTTCATCGTTTGCTTAAAAAAAATTGAGCGACTCACTGCGTTTGAATTACTTGTCCAGTTAAAGTAACACTATGGTCATCGTTTTTGCTGGCCGTAGTTGGCAAAACTTGTTGCAGATCTTGCACGAATGTGTCGACATGCACGACACTTTGCATTTGAGCAAGCGCACCGGTCTGAGCATTTATCTCAACGCCCATATGATGAACGAACACACTGATTGCTGCCTGAAGTGAAAGTGCTCAGTCAGTTGGATTCAATTCTCACTCAAGTTTCTATTTCTGCTCAATTATTCACGTAGCGTCAACCAGCAAGCTGAAATCGAACTTGCTCGCAGAGAACCTCACAAGAATTCATAATCGACGTACTGGTTTTCCGTTCAAGTGAAAAACATGCGGTTGACTCCATTGATTAGCTTGTTCATTGGTCACTCTCGATAAGTCTAACGCTCCAGAATCTGTCAGTGGCAAGAATTCAGTTGTCATGTACTGAATAGAACCTCTGAAAGTGGTTGCAATTCACAAATACCTCAAGCAGTTACATACAGTTAGAATCAACGGGCGAAAAACCGCTCAATTTCATTTGTGCCTTGGTTCGACTCAATTGCACGGTACTCACAGATCAGGTAAGTTGCTTTATCACAGATGTAAAAATTATCGCCCGCATTCGTTGAATTATAAATGATTGAAAACTTCCTATAACATCCTAACCATTTCACATTCCAATTCGTACATGAATGAGAGAGAAACTGACCGAGGTGGGGAAACCATCACACTGAACGCCATGAAACATCTGGGCTCTACCGTGCCCAGATAACTGCACTGAAACCCGCTCGGACATACACAGGTCATTCCATTTGGCAGCCGAAGTCCTTGGTCAAGGTAACTCTTCAGTTTTATTCGAACCTCAACTGCGGTAGGCAAGTCTGGTGAGTCCGTCGTTGCGTTCTGAAATGATCTGACGTGAGTGGGAAGGACGCCTTCACAGCAAGAATCACTATACATGAAAGGCCGAAAGGAGTTGGAGTAATACGGAACCATCAGCTGTTGAGTCACACACCACAGTCAGCACATTTTGATTCTTTGCATGCCACATCGAGGAGTGGGACTTGATGGAAACTTGTTAGCTAAACTCTTTAACCGCTTTCTGAACATAGTTTTATGACATGAAAGTTATTAATGTACTTCGTCAAAGATCATAACATGAAGTACTTTCAAGTAGCACTACATCTTTTCGCCACGATTCGCATTCTTACGATCGCTGCTGATGTCGTTATCCCTCTTGGCTGAGATTTTATGAACCGGAATGAAAATGAGAATATGAATTTATCGTACCGATGTCAGCCCTGTAAGTGGCTGCAGCATTTGCATTCGGCTGTACATATTGCTGCGATCTTGATGAATGTTTCCATAAGGCTAAAATCAAAAGAATACAGGTAAACTGAACACTTGAAAATTTCTCCTCTTTGAAGTGAACTGGAATTCGTGGCTTGAAAAAAGGATGAACGTCGATATCAGTAAGATATCGAAGCAGAAATGAATCAGTAATCTGGTAATAATGATCTCAATGAGGATAAAAATGCCAGCTTATGTATCGGAAAATAACATCGATGAGTTTGATTTCAATAAAAGAGAGGGACGATAATTTTACAAGTGTTGTTGAGATAAGTTGTTTTTCTCCCAATACTCTCAAATTGAAACCTACATTGTAACTTGCAGCTCTTCCTGCGTACTGTCCATTTTCAGCTGAATTATCGTGATTGAACTGAGCAGCAGCAATGACAGTCACCAAGAATGGTACGGATAGAAAATTGAACGACATCGTTAATGAAAATCCTGAACTGTTTTTCGAACGATTAATTTTATAATGCTCTGATGCAGACAGTGCGCTCACTGTTCGATTACGCTTTATGCGGACGACCAAAACATGCTGAATGATGCAGTTTGGAAATTCATGTTAACCGATACATCATAACACAGAGGATTCGGATCTTACTATGGACAACGTTATGCTTTGGCGGCATTGAAGTTGGAGCCGTTCTCATGGATATATTCGAAAGCTTCTTCGACCGCACTCTCAACCGGTGTATAATTGAGGGCGTTTAATCTTCCGTTGTCTCTAGATTTGGATATGCATGCACTATCACGAAACGCGAAAACGAAACAATTGTCGGATGTGGAATTTCGTAATGGAGTACTGATATGGGCAAAAATGACGACCACTCTGAGGGAGTCATACAAAATGAAAAAGATAATTTTTCAAGCAATAAACATACAAATAACACTGAATGACAACAGTAATTGTTACAGAATGTTCCGCAATCGCATCTCATGGAAAACTGTGGTGCTGTACGAAATAGAAAAGACGTCGAACAATAATAAATCATCAATCTATTCCTTAGTGGTTGCAATATTTACAATATGAATCATACATATAGTCACTAAGCGTTTCATCCTAGTGAGTGTTTTTCAACGATTAATAATGACCAAGAATGACCACAACTACAGGAGGAGGAATTTCTTTGTAATAAGAAATCGAAGAATGAAAATATGTAAAGTTGACCACGCGCGATAAATCTCANAGCAAATTGCCCCTAAGTGATGCGTTTTTAAGCAGTGGATATGATAACCAAGATCACTGACTCAGCGAAAATGACTCCAAACGCAGCGTAAAACAAGACTTGATGGTTTGCTATCAGTTCCTGAATGTAGTCGTTTGATTTATGCATGGATAGATGCGCAATAATGGCACGTATTTGCAATCTTTCATCGGCAAAATCGTCAATGTTTTCATTTTAACAATATTCCATGAATTTTGTTTCATGCTCTTTGAAAAACTACTGAAATGGGTATTTGCACATCTCAGCAGGTGGAGAAATAACAACAGGATATGGTGAAATGAACTCAAATAAGTTGAAGTGTTTTAGTTAGTTGAGATGAAGGAATGAATGTGGTTTGGCGAGGAGAGTATGATACATGACAGAAGATGTACAACCGAAAAAGTGAAGATGCTATTTGCGATTGTTAATAAAATCGATGTGTATTGGACTGTTGGAATGATTGTGGTTTTGTTGACAGAGTGAATCATAATGTTTGTTGAGTCCAGCAAATGCAAACACGTTAACTATCGTTTGTTTCATTCAATACTTCAAGCAAAGATTAATTCTATACGCAACATAAAACCACCATTAGGCAACGATTCTATCAAGTATGCGCATAAGATACCATAAAATTATGCCTTTACCTTTTCCGATCCCATCCAACACATGAATCTGTACAAGTCGCCTGGTCAGTAAACAGGTAATTCAGGCAGGCAAAACTGAGAGAGAGATTGAATGAACTTGGAACAATACATCAGGAACAGTGCTTCTTCAGCATTAAATATCTAACTGCAAACAATTGAACTGTGATGCAAAGCGGGTTTTCTAAAGCTCCTCACTCTCATACACTTTCACATCTCTTGCATTTGCCACTTATTAGAGAGCGAGTCAAAAACTCACCAGAAATCCGTGATGATGCTTTAACAGTCTAGCCCATTCGCAGCATTAAATATCTAACTGCAAACAATTGAACTGTGATGCAAAGCGGGTTTTCTAAAGCTCCTCACTCTCATACACTTTCACATCTCTTGCATTTGCCACTTATTAGAGAGCGAGTCAAAAACTCACCAGAAATCCGTGATGATGCTTTAACAGTCTAGCCCATTCGATTGGTATTTCCACATCTACCTGCCGTTCATAATCATGTAAACATCATTAACTTATTGCAATGCCCCATACAGAATGTTAGAGACTGCCGAAATATGATCAGAGACGAATACAGGATTAGCATTAAACATCCTATTGCATGCTCATAGCTTGAGCTTATACTTTTTTTTTGTGGAATCACGGAATGACTTCAGGCCTGATCAGGTTCTGTTCTTCAGTAAATCTAGTATGATAAGGGTAAAAACGCATGCAAATAGTCTTATGATGTAACAGGCGTAGGAGCAAACGAGAAGTGAAGTGGTATAATGTAGAACGAGGGAAATGTGCTTGGTCCAATGTAGGTATTTGATTTGATAGCATTTTTTTTAGGGAGCAATCGACTGCAAATTTCTTTATCATTCAGTCGGCTCGTGCTTCAGTACTGATAATTGAGCGTCACATATTTTCACAATGGAATGGTCGTTTAAATTATACAACTGAATTATCAAATTCTCATCGCAACTGTCGTAAACAACGCTTCCCCAGTTACCATTTATTGCGCTGATAAAATGTGGAATCTATACGAGACCCTATGAAGAAAGTACAAAGGAATTTGCTCTGTGCAATATGAATGATGGAATTTCAAATTGAGGTTGTACTTCTTTGCCAGAATCAGTGGTGAAAATCGAGAAGACGTGTTGTTGACTCAACTCCAGCTGCAGGTGAATGCACTAAAGAATTCATGAATCGCAAACGTTAGAGTTGGTTCATTTGTAGTTAACTCTTCCTATACTCAACAGTATATGCAGTAATCGCTGTTATTTTTGATCGCTAAATTACGAAACATTTTGATGTGCCAATCAGTCACTTGAGCACTTTTCGCAGAATAAAATTTTGTGAAATACCTAGCAAAATACGAACGAAGTGAAATTCCAGCATAAATCATGCGTAATATTTGTGAACGCCTAAATTTCACAGCTAAGCGAATATATTAACACTGAAAATATAATCGATCGTCGCCAAACCAAAAATAGGGTGAATGTTAAGTCATAACCAAACCAGCTAGCTGATGCATCATTTGTATGCGCATCTCGTTATTTTTTCTAACAATTGTTGCCTTCAGTAAAATTCAGTTTTCTATAAAACCATTTTCCTTTAACCTCCTTCGATGCACGACCATACAGCAGCAGAATGGAAAACTGTTCCACTTATTGCTGATTCAATCAGATGGCTGTGAGTGTCGCTGGAGTAATTACTCAAAACACTGCATTGAAGCTAGACCAAAATTCAAAAGTCTTCGGAATATGAACGGATCAAACTGATGAGATTTCGAACGAAAATAATACAGCCGGATGGAAATTTTTTAGACTTGAATCACTGGACTTGAAGCTTTTTGGGTTGAAATTTGGGAAGTTTGATTAGGCAACGAAGATTAAAACTTCCCGGATTCTCCCAACATATTTTCGAGAGTATGTTACAATAATCCTCCTGAAAAAGCTGGAGTGTCTCCTACAGTTAAAAAAGGAAAAAAAACGGGCAGGGCTATCAATATCTTCTCATTAAAAATTTATCGAATGTCAGATGTGATGCTGAGGCGACCAAACCGCTTAATGAATTTGAAGTGAAACTCGAAGAAATGTGAAGCAATAGTTGGAATATGTGTTCGACCATTAATAACAGGAAAATACCATGATCGAAAAAACGCGAATGAATGTAAATCGGGGGCGCTCCGGATGACTTTACTTTTATATTATGGTGAGGCTGATTCACTGATAAAACAACGACGTTCTAGGTGATTCATTCCCTTTCATACGTCTTACGAAATAGCTACAAGATTACTGGTCGTATTTCTCGACCATATGAAAGATGTTGATGCGGTCGACATAGAGATAGGGCCACCTATACTGAACATCCTTTGATAGCATGTGACATGCTGATAAGAAGAGTGCGTCAAACATACGCTGTTCAGGACTCAAACATGCGTCAAAAATAGCTTTTGCAAGCAAAATAACCTTTTCTGCAACATGTTGAGAGTTCAAAGAAATCAGCTTATGGATATGCTGTTAAGGAGCTGAGTTCTCTTTAGACGGCAATTGGGAACGTCATCGCTTTCTTGAGTTTGCATTTGCAGTGAGGATACCAACACTAGTTTCAGTAAATGGCGCTTTTTGAAGTTAACCAAAATAACCCCATGAAAAACATCTATTCTTCTGTGCTAAAAATTGCCGAAAGCGGTCAGATGTTGCGGGACAGTGCAGTATTCCAAAATATAAATAGCAGAAAAAAGTGCACTGTAAGAGGAGCCCTCAAAGAAGCAAAACAAAATGATTCAGTTCAAGTAAATATGGTATCGTAATAGTTGGTATTCTTCAGATAGCAAATTGTCATGTGTCTAAAATTTGCATCAGGACAATTTTCACGGGATTGTTCATCCATTGAACATCGTTCGATGCGCCAAATATTGAAGCCGAATAATTTATGTGTTCGTCAACTTTTTTTCAACGAAACATTTTGTGCGATCTCCGTTCTCCTATCGTTGTGCGTCGTTATTTTTTCATACTGGTAATAGTGCCGTGGAATGCCTCTGATTCGAATCGAGTTAGTCGAGCAAAATTTGAAGGAAAAGTCATCATCTCTTCGTCGTCTGAAATATTTGACAATCCCTAAACCGGAATGAAACTTTTTATGATGAGTTTTCACGTGAAATTTGCATAATTTATTCAGGAAAATTTATTATAATGACAATACAGTGTCAGCAAATGTGCAACTCATTCAACATGAGAATTCCATTGTTTTATACGCTCCAAGAGAAGGCAGCTGATTGCGTCGTCAGCCAGCAAATGGTTTTACCTTAATTGATCACTATTTCCTGTGGATCTCATTATCAAAATAGTTCTATATGCTATTCAATCATGTTTACCCAATCGCCTTTCTGGTTTTGAGTTATCTGGCATGGAAGCTTCATCAAGAGAAAACGGGTGACAAAACCACAGCAATGAATTTTGTAACCAGTAAGATCGTTGCCACAATTCACGAATGATGTGGCAGTAGAA